TAAATACCTAGGAATCTGGCTAACAAACAGGTGTAGTGCCTTATTCGATAATAACTATAAAAAACTTTTGAAAGAAATAAAAATGGATCTAGAAAAATGGAAGGATCTACAGTTATCTCTGATGGGAAGGGTAGCAACCATTAAGATGTCTATTCTCCCAAAAATCATGTTTCTGTTTCAGTTAATACCAGTTGTTAAAAACTTATCCTTTTTTAAAGAACTGAACACAATAGTTTCAAAATTTATTTGGCAAGCCAGAAAACCCAGGTTTAAATTGAAAGTTATGCAGGAAAAAACAGTAAAAGGCGGGTTAGGCCTGCCAGACTGGTTATTATATTACAAAGCCTCGGTAATGGTATGGTTGAAAGACTGGGCGACTTTATCTAATAGCAGACTCCTCAAATTGGAAGGCCATGATCTTCAGATGGGGTGGCACGCCACCATTTGGTATGACAAGGGAAGAAGTGCTTTTGGTAAACACTATATTAGAGGTTTATTACTTAAAACATGGAAAGAAATGAAGCAGAAGTTTTATTTAAAAATACCTAGATGGGTATCCCCTGTTGAAGCATTTGTTATCCCAAATCTGTATGAATATGAGAAGAAGTTATGTTATGAGGATTTACTAGATGAAAGAAATAACTTGAAACCAATCGAAAGCTTGAGAGAACGAAATAAGGAGCTGTCTTGGTTACAAATAATGCAATTGCAATCCAGATACAAAGAGGACCAGAAGTATGGTTTTTATGATAAGTATCTAAAGATAGATAAAATCTGGATTAAGCAGGGAAGTCAGATAATAAAACATATATATGGACAGTTATTGGAAAATAAGATGCAAGAAGATGTAATAAGATCAAGTTTGACAATTTGGAATAAGGATTTGGGTAAAGATATAGGAATTGATAAATGGTTAAAAATATGGGATACCAACGTAAAGATTACGAGGGCAACCTCCTTCAAAGAAAACATTTATAAAGTTGCTTTGAGATGGTATTTGTTTCCCACTAAATTAGCCAAGATTTTTAAATCGGTCACTAACATATGTTGGAAATGCAACCAGAACGTAGGTACTTACCTACATATGTGGTGGTCTTGTAGCAAAGCCAAAGATTACTGGAAAATGATCAATAATTTGTTGGGTGAAGTTATGGGGCAACAAATCCCTTTTGAACCTGAAGTCTGTTTATTGAATATGATTCCAGAGTCATATGGAAAAACGGGAAAACATTTATTGGTCCACGGTTTCACTGCAGCCAGAATTTTGTATGCAAGACACTGGAAAGAGGGATCGATTCCAGGAAAGAGCGAGGTAGTACAAAAAATATGTGAAGTGGCTGAACTGGATAAGATGTCATGTATGTTAAAGGGGAATGAGGACTCGCTTTTTGAAAAAAATTGGGAGAAATGGTATATATGGACACGAAATGCGGAGGGTTAAAACAGGTGTATTTAAATATGCTAGGGTGCGAAGATAGTGATGTTGTATATAAGAAATCAGCAAAATGTTGGAAATTGTAGGTATATTCACTCTAAGTAAGGAAACGGCTGTATGCTCATCGACGATGTATTGAAGAAATAATTGTTTCTTTGTTTATTCTATCATGGAAAACTTAATAAAATAAATAGTAAAATAAAAAAAAAAAAAAAAAAAAAAGGATTTCTTTCATTACAGAATTGTACTGCGTACGCCCATAATGATTGAAGTTTATTTTGCTTTGTGAGGCTTAAGAAAATATTCGGATGAAGATTTAATTGAAAAGAGAGTATTAATATCCAGAAACCTCTTCAATAAAATTGGATTTTTGGAATTTAGAAGCTTTGGGACCTTGTCCACAAGCAAACTTCATTTTCTTACAATAACTGGATTTTACCTTTGAGTTTTGTAACGGGTCATTTTTACAGGCGTGTTGGGTTTTCCCTTTTTTGTATCCTGGTTCTGTGAAACTGTTTTGGGGATATTGTCTGTAGCTTACCTGGCAAATCCTCAACAATGTCTGAACCAATCGGGTGTTCTGCGGGACTCCAAGTCTCACAATAGCGTGCAGGCTGTACGCCAAGTCATCGCGCCACATGTACCTGGCCTCCTGCATTGCGCACTGGCAGAGCTGGCTAAAATGAGGGTGCTCAAACATCAGCTGTCTCTCATAACGCCTCTGGTCTTCCGATAGTCTTTTGGTCAGCATCCACATAGTGGTCAGGTTGTTACTGATGTACTTTGAGGAAATCGGGTATCTCGAAACCAAGTCTAGTACATCACAGGGGGATGCACACTTTCGAAGCTCATCAAAGTACTGCTGGGCCACAGACCGCTTGTCCGTTTCTTCACCTGCACTTCTGTCTGTCGCTGCAGTGACCATGGAACCAGATGGCGGTTCAGTGACTTCTTCTGTCACTGGTCTAGAGCTTTGCGTTTGATCGTTTAACAAACCATTAGCAGTTTTCTGTTCGTTTGCGTTGGCACTTTCTGTGCTGACGATGAATGCATCTTGAGAAAAAAATCCAGCAGACTGAAGCCAGCAAGGAGATATGTACAATGGGCATCGCCTGAGATAAAGACTTTGTATAGCGCTCTTATGCCCGTTAGTCCTCAACACATATGTTCTCACCACAGTTCTAGAACAAGGACTCATTGCAGAAGGGCAGACCTGCATTTGACTGATGGTCCTTATAAAACAACCCAGGTGCTTCTTCATTTTGCTGCTCGTCATTCAGTGACTTGTTCAAAGAAAAACAACTTGATAAATTGCTAGCAGTGCGAATCAGCTGTCTGGAAGTGGATCACGTAAGTCATCTATGAAAAGCAGGATAAAAAGTGTGACAAACCAGACCAAGGGCCCTTTCTCTCTCCCCCTAGAAATCTAATGAAATAAAATAAATAAAATTGTCCCCTCCCAAAACATCACGTCAATGGTGCCATCTTCAGTTAAATCAAAATGCAAACTGAATCCCTTTTAAGATGAGAAGATATACAAATTGAAACACCTGTGATGCAGAGGTGGAAGATGCCCTGTATTTACAGGAAATACACACAGATCAGTTACCAGGGCCATGAGAGAACAAAGCTGAAATGAAAAAGAGCAAGGGCTCATAAGTGCAATAGAAGAAAGTTTACCATTTTGGAAATAGCCTCAAGAACCCTTAGCAAATACCTGTGTGCAAACTAAAAGGGGGATGGGGGGAAATGGAAGAAAAGCAGCAATTTCTTGTACTGATATTTTACTGCTCAAAAAACAAAACAAAACACACCATGATTAGAAAGCAAGTAGACCCCTGGCCCCTTTCCAGAAGGGGACACTTCCCTATGGTTTCCCCACTGTTGTCGCAGCTGTCCATGCCAGACAACAGCAATGGGTCTTCCACACGGAGGGCGTCCCCAAATTTTTCCTGCCCCAGCACCTCTGATTGTCATACACCCCCTGGGGAGGGTGCTAAAAATAAAAATAAATGGCTGGAACAAAGACTGGCTAAGAGAAAACAGCACCCATGTGGGCACAATTAGGAAATGTCATTTTATGTATTTATTTATTATTTCTATTTATATCCCACCTTGCCGGACACGCTGGCTCAAGGCGGCTAACAGGGTTAAAATAACGTAAACAATACAGAGATAAAACTGTTAAAAATACAAGACCGGTTAAAACAGCAATAGTTACAGATAAAAACCAACAGATTATGGCAATAATCCAGCAATTGTGGCTGATTTAAGCAAAGTTGCCATGGCAGAACATCGGGAGAGAGGCAGTCTCGCAGCTAAGAGAGGTCAAAGGTCTGAAAGGTTTTGTATGGGATAGCCAATACCTTAAGGCTGGGATGTTTACAGGATATCACGAGGAGAGGGGAAATTGCCTCTCTTCTCAGAACCAAAAGTCAGGGTCTCCCGATGGCAAGAACTGCAAAGCAGATTCAGGAGAGAAGCCAGAAACTATTTCTTCATACACAGCATAGCTGAGCTTAGGCAACTTGCTGCTACTATGGCACTGGTGCCTTCAAGTGAGAGCCAGTTTGGTGTAGTGGTTAAGTGTGTAGACTCTAATCTGGGAAAACCGGGTTTGATTCCCCACTCCTCCACATGCAGCTGCTAGATGACCTTGGGCAAGCCATAGTTCTGTCAGAGCTGTTCTCCCAAGGACAGTTCTATCAGAGCGCTCTCAGCCCCACCTACCTCACAGGGTGTCTGTTGTGGGGAGGGGAAGGGAAAGGAGTTTGTAAGCTGCTCTGAGACTCCGAGTGAAGGGTGGGGTATAAATCCAATCTCTTATTATTATTTTAAAAGGGATTAGCAGGGCTCTTGGAAGTGTTTCAAAGACAGTGTGCCTCTGAACAGTACTGACAAAGTGGGGGCACAGTAGGAAACAACTAAGGGTACTTGCTTGTGGGGTTTTTTTAGAGGTGGCAGGTTGAATGCTGGAAGAACCAGGGCGCTGGGCTTTGGCACTTGACTGGAGCTGATCAGTGGTGAACAGAAAACGAAGAGACTGGGTTTATACCAGTTAGGTGTAGTGGTTAAGTGCGGGGACTCTAATCTGGGAGAACCGGGTTTGATTCCCCCACTCCTCCACCTGCACCTGCTGATGTGACCTTGGGTCAGTCACAAGCTCTGGCACAGCTGTCCTTGAAAAAGAGCAGTTTGTGTCAGAGTTCTCTCAGCCCCACCCACCTCACAGGGTGTCTGTTGTGGGGAGGGGAAGGGAAAGGAGTTTGTGAGCCGCTCTGAGACACCTTTGGGTAGTGAAGGGCGGGATATAAATCCAATCTCCTCCTCCTCCTTTCACTTGGAGTCTCAGAGTGGCTTACAATCTCCTTCCCTCCCCCTCCCCACAACAGACACCCTGTTGAGGTAGGTGGGGCTGAGAGAGCTCTGACAGGACTGTTCTTGGGCTGCATGTGGAGGAGTGGGGAATCAAACCCGGTTCTCCAGGGTTAGAGTCCTCCTGCTGCTCTTAAACATTACACTCACCAAAACTCACACTGAAACAATCTTCCAAGGGCCACTAGACTTTTATTTCGCTAACACAGCGACTCCTTTGCAAGCCGAAGATGACCCTGAGAGGGTGTACGGTTGCCATCTCCAGGCGCCCGGGGAGGACAGGGGGCTCAGCGCGGCCCAATGCCACAGCGTCTACCCTCCAGGGCTGCCATTTCCTCCGGGCGAACTGATCTCTGTAGCCTGGAGAGCAGCTGTGACCCCTGGAGATTTCCAGGGCGGCCCCACCTGGAAGATGGCAACCTTGAGTGAGGCTGGGTAGAACACGCGTTTTGCATGCAGACGCTCTCCAGCTAAACGGGGGGGGGGGGGACGCGAGGGAAAGCCAGGAAAGCCTCTGGCAGTCAGAAGAGGCGGGACGGCGGTAAAGCCACGGACGGTCTTTGACCCCCGCAGGAGGCAGTGACGACGATCCTCTCCTTGGGCCGCCATCCCCGCCCCTCCCGTCTCCATGGAAACCGCGGGCGGGGCCCCTCACGGGCTCGCACCTTTCCAACGAACTTCCACGCGGTCGCCTACCTGGGTTCACTTACCGGCGGCGTCTCCTTGCGTACCACGCGCACAGGAGCGGCTGCTCCGGCCGCCACCACGTGACCCCAACCGGAAGACAGCGCCTCACGCGGCGTACGGCTCCCTATAAGGGACAAACTAGTTCCTCCCGCGTAGGGGGAGCGGAAAGAAACGCTTTCGCCGCGTTGCCAGGCAACCTTCCCTCCTGCCGAAGACCGCGCCAAGCTTCCCATCTAGGGTGGGCCCCGGGCGGCTTGTTTCATGGCCAAGTTCGTCCTCGCAGGTGAGACGAGAGAAGTCCCTCGTCGTCATTGGGGGAACGACGAAGAGCTCTCTCACCCACTCCCCTCGGCTTTAGAACGCGGAGGAGCGCATAGCTTCTGAGCATGCACAGAGAGCTCTTCGTTCGCCAAATGGAAGTGCGCAGGGAAGGTTTTGCAGAATCATAATCCCTTTGACCTCCTATTAGTCGTGGACTAACTAAGTGCTGAATGTCTTAAATAGACGGATAAATAAGATCGTGGCCGGGGGGGGGGATAATTTGGAAAGCCCTCCTTCCCCCCCCCCCATCTCCCTCTCAAGGTTGCTGTGAGCTCTGGGGCATTGAACCGGCTGTGGCTTCTGTCTTCCTCCCCTTTAATCGATGCTTGGCTGCTCGATAAATGTGCTAAAAAGGAAATAAAATGAATGTCATGTCTGTTACTTTTTTGCTGGATGGCTCCTTTTCGTTAATTTACAAAACAGTATTTTATGCATATATGGAAAGTCCCCTCAGTTGAGTGGAGAGAGACCCCTGTTTTATCCGTAGGTGGCCCGATTTGCTGCTAGTATCTGCACAGGGGCCAGCCACTTTCATACTAGATACAGTTATTTTCATAGAATACATTAAAATAACAGTATCTAGTATGAAAGTGGTACATATTGATACTATATTATAGAACTTGCCATGTGTATTAATAGAGAAATATTTAATACTTCTGTTTTGGAGAAAATATTAAAAGGAGAAAGGGAGAGAGGTGTTCCACTTCAAAGGATGTGTGAAATACAGTGGAGTTTGAACAAAATCTCCAGGGCTTTTTTTTTCTGGGGGAACAGAATGGAATTCCAGAACCTCTTCGACAAAATTCTTTTTAAAAAATTTAAAAATTCATGAGTTTTCAGTATACAGATTGAAAACTTCATCTCCCTCTTGAGAGTTCCGGCAACTCTTTTTCAAAACAAACAAACAACTAACTAAATAAAAGCCCTGCTCATAACAGAAACAAACAAGTGCTTTTGTGCTTTCCACCGTCCATTAATCAAATCAATTCACAGTTACAGAGCCCATCTTGTGTAGAGAGTTCCACAGGGCAACAGAAGTCTCATCTGAGATCCTGTTTGCTCTGAACCCACTGGGTGGGAAGGTGACTGAATAAATGTTCTAAAATTAATACCTGTTCCTAGTTCATTTCATTGGATCCTTCACTGGATAGAGCCGATGTGGATAGAACCAGGATCAGGGACCAGAACTAGGATCAGGGATGCTCTGCCATGGCAGCTTGCTTAGTGACTTTGGGTCAGTTCCGCGCTCTCAGCCTAACCTACCTCTCAGTGTTGTTGTGAGGATAAAATGGAGGAAAGGAGAACCATGTAAGCTGCTTTGGGGTCCCGTTGGGGGGAAAGGCAGGGTCTGAAAGAAGTACATTAGTTAAATGAATGAATACAATTGTGGTTTTCATTACTTACTCATTGGCTTAAATATATTGATGGATCGGTTTATTTTAAATACATAGACTTCTATCCTGCCTTTTACGTACATGGGATGATTTACAGTGGTAAAGTAGGAAATTAAATGTTAAGCAACGAATATCAAAGAATGAGCGACAAAACACTAACAGAACCCAAAACAATCAGTGAAAGGCAGGAAACTTATCCAGTGACTACAAAAGCCACCAGAAATCTTTAAGAAACAATAACAGTGACGTTTTAAAGTGCCAAATAGGTGGTGTTCACAAGGCTCACCATTTTTTAACCATTCTCAACTGTCTAATTTCCAGGTAGGGCAGATTGCCCCTACTATGCTAAGGCTGAACTCCTAGCTGACTATTTGCAGAAAAATTTGCCTAACTTCCGGATACATAAGATCACTCAGCATCCGGACAACTGGGAGGTAAATGATGTTAGTCCACTCGTGTGCTCAGCTCAGTTCTGTTCTTTTTTTCTTTCCTGCTCTCATTGCTAATGTACATGGGCATTTGGTCTGGTATTGCTTTTTCCAAATGTGTTTATTAGCATTTCCAAAAGAGATGCTGTCTGAAGCACCAGAAAAACCCTGCCTGTTAAAGCCCCCGGTCAGCTGGAGCTGCAGTGGCTCAAGTGGTTAAGACGCTGAACTGCAGGCTGTGGAAGGTCGGTAGTTCAGGAGTTCGAGACCCAAGTTGCTGCATGACGGAGTGAGCTCCCGTCTCTAGTTCCAGCTCCTGCCAACCTAGCAGTTTGAAAGCAAGAAATTGCAAGTAGATAAATAGGTACCACTTCAGTGGGAAGGTAACAGCGTTCCATGCGCCTTGGTGTTTAGTCATGCTGGCCCCATGACCACGGAAACGGACAGCGCTGGCTCTTCGGCTTTGAAACGGAGATGAGCACCACAACCCTAGAGTCGGATTCAACTGGCTTTCGAGCAAGGGAACCTTTATCTTTTACAGCACTGTAATAATACTGTTCATAACCTTTTAAAGGCTTGGTTTCTGTGTGCCATTGGTGCAAATGCGATAATTCCCTGTGATGCTGGAGACTGGTAAGGATCCATCTTCTAAGGGCTTATTCAGACATAAGGACGTTGCATCAGATGTGCTCCAGGGGATCTGTGTTGGGGGAATCCAGGTCCCAGGCGCACCTGAGCCTGATTTGGATCAGAACACAGTACCCAAGGAGAAGAGTCTTCAGGCTTTCCCCCAGATGGTTTTCTCAACCTGAAATGGTCTCTGGGAGCTGCTGTTTTCCTTTTGGGAAACTTATATGTACTGATAGTTACTCACAAGTTTCCCTGACTGGGCAAATAGAAACTCCTTAGGGCCATTTCAGGTCAGGAAAACAACATGAGGGAACAGGATGAAGCCTTTTGTCCTTGAACGCTGGGTGTCAGTCCAAATTGGGCCCACAAACAGCTGGGAATTCAGTTTTCAGCAGGGAACTCCCAGAACACATCTGTACAGAATCCATAAGGGAGACACATAGTCTTTTAAAAGTGTGAATTGACTCTTCGCAATGCCATCGTCTCTTGATTTACCTTCCGCATGCAAGTTTAGATATGTACATAAGTGCCATCAAGTCAGAATTGACTTACGGCGACCCCAGAAGGGGGCTTTCAAGGCAAGTTAGAAGCAGAAGTGGTTTGCCATTGCCTTCCCCTGCAGAGCCTTCCTTGGTAGTCTCCCATCCAAGTCCCAACCCTGCTTAGCTTTCAAGATCTGACAAGATTGGGCTATACCATGTCACTTTCCCACAGATGTAGATAATAATCAAGTATAAAACATATGAATATGTCAAATATTAAGCAACAACATATAGTTGTATCATTTTCGGCAACCAGAGCATTATTGTTTGGAAGCCTTTCTTGGAGATCATGTTTCACATGTACCTTGTTGTGGGGGGGGGGCTTGTATACAGAAATGGCTTCAGGAGATCTGTGGAAAAAATGGATGGAAGCACAAGCGCTCCCCCATTATTTGGAGAGAATTGTTGGACCGTGGAGGGAAAGGTCTTCTTCTGGGAGGATTTAATGAGTTCCTAGAACATGCTCAGGTAAAACATTACTTTCTGAGTTTGATAGCATTTAAGTATGTATTTATCCTGTCTTCCCACAAATGTTGCAATTATAAGGGGGGGACTGTCTTCTGAATAAACATTTCAGTTCCCAAATGAAAAGGCATGAGATCTGGAACTCATGACCCATGAAGCTGCTAATAAAACACAGAGGGAAGTTGTTGACTGGGGCTGTTGGGAAAGGGCAATAAGCAGGAAGTGAACAATCAAATATCTGGCAGAACCTGGAAGATTGAAGGCTAGAAAGTTCTACCGTTGCAAGGAGATGCCCTAGATCAGAGGTGTCAAACTCATTTGTTACAAGGGCCGGATCTGACATAAATGTCACTTTGTTGGGCCGGGCCATGTGTGCCATAAAACGTAATGCCAGGTACCAGAGATAGAAACTGTATGAAGGACAGCAGCTGGTAAGCTCCGAGTTGGGGTATCCTCACTGCAAGGCCCCATGGGGTGGGAGGGGGTGCAGAGGAAAATCCAGACTGGAGAGGCAGCGGTGCAGCGCTAGGCAGATGCTCCCACAATGCCTGACTGCTGCAGACGAGGTTGTTCCAGCATGCTGAAGCCACAATTGGAGTGACTCTGCCTACTCCCCCACCCAAGCAGTCTCCTGTTCCCTCCCTTGCACTAGTTGTTTGCAGGCCACATAAGAGCGCTGGATGGGCCGGTTCCAGCCCCCAGTCCTTATGTTTGACACCCCTGCCCTAGATGACCTTTGTGTAGGGTTGCCATCTCCAGGCTGGGAAATTCCTGGAGATTTTGCGAGTGGAGTCTGAGGAGGGCAGGGTTTGGGGAGAGGAGAGACCTCAGCAGGGTATAATGCCACAGAATCCAACTTCCAAAGTGGCCATTTTCTCCAGGGGAACTGACCTTCATCACCTGGAGATCAGTTGTAATCCCAGGAGATCTCCAGCTACCAACTGGAGTCTGGCAACCCTACCCTTGAGGTCTCTTGCTCTTCTTTCTCTGGTTCTTCTTACGTGCTTTAAAATAATGTATTTTGGTCTCCAGGTTCAGATTGAGTGGTTGTAGGGGTGTTTGAGTCATGTCTGGGTAGCTGCCTGCTGATTACCCTTTTTAATCTTCAGCATTACTATAGCATCACGTCAGACATGATGACCGCAGAGATGCGTCAAATTGCTGAAGAGAACTTGCGGACTCACATAGAAGTTGAGCAAGAGGAGGAAGAACTCAAGAGCCTTATCAGCCCCTTACACATCTGGATCAACAGGTGGGAAGACGAAAAACAACTCTGTCCAAAGTCAGTTTGGCTAGGTGTGTGGCCTGTCGCTCTTTTATATGGGATTTCAGAAATGTTAGCATAATCTGTGTCTCTTCACCAAACGCAGCCATCAGAGAAATTGTAAAATGAGCTGAATCTGGGGAATATCTATAAATCAGCGCACCTTTGGCTTGGAATTTAAAGATGCATGCAAGTACTTCTTCTCCACGCAACCGCAAATGCCCCAATTTCATTTGCCTACCACTGTCAGAGGTCTGAATGAATAGTCTGTCTGTCTGTCTGTATGTATGTCCTCCTGAACAAAGTTTGACTCCATTGGCACGTTTATAGCCAATGTTTACTTCTGGGTATAAGCTTTCATGTGCCACTGGACTCCAACTTTGTTCTATTGCTTCAGACCAACACGGCTACCCACCTGAATCTATCTATCCTTCTGTGATGGAATTCTAATACATTTACCTTTTAAATGGGAAATTGTCCTTACGCTAAAACTTACACAGTAAAATGTGACAGTGATTAAAAAACCCCACCAAATCAGTCTTTTTATAGCCCAAGAGAAATACAGAAGTGTATATATTTATTTATATTTACTTGTTTATTAGTTAAATTATATCCCACCCTTCCCAAAACGGGCTCAGGGTGGATAACAACAAAGTGGGTAACAGTTAATACCAGGTAATATAATTAATTCTTAAAACAGCTAAAACCATTAAACAATGAAATGTAACAGTTCAGACCCCCTATAAGCCGGACTGATGGTAACATGAGCAGAGATGTTAGAATACCAGTTTTGGCTGTGCACAAGACAGTGAAATTTACTTGACAAGGTACTGCCGGCATGTCTGGAAAGGGGGGGGGGGAGAGTAGATTCTTGGAGGCACAGGATGAATTTCATTCTTCCCATGACAAGGTAGAGCAACAGTTGCCCTCTGCGTTCAAAGATTCTGCTTGCTGTATATCCCTCTGACTTCCCCTGCTCCAACATGCCCTTTTTTCTTCCCTTCTCTGTTTCCCCCCCCTCTCTTTTCTACTTTCTTGGTTTCCCCAGCCTTAAGAGGAGAGCCAGTTTGGTGTAGTGGTTAAGTGCACGGACTCTAATCTGGGAGAACCGGGTTTGAGTCCCCACTCCTCCACTTGCACCTGCTGATGTGACCTTGGGTCAGTCACAAGCTCTGGCGCAGCTGTCCTTGAAAAAGAGCAGTTTGTGTCAGAGTTCTCTCAGCCCCACCCACCTCACAGGGTGTCTGTTGTGGGGAGGGGAAGGGAAAGGAGTTTGTCAGCCACTCTGAGACTCCAAGTGAAGGGCGGGGTATAAATCCAATCTCTTCTTCTCTTCTTTTCAAGTTTTGATTGGCTGGATTCATGTAATTGAACAGCGTCTCCTGCGTTTTCAGTGCAGAGCGGCTACGCAGGTGGCATCGGGTGGGGATGAGTCTGGGTAGGCGTTCTGCTTGTGCTCAAGTGGGGTTGCTCAGGGAGCCATCCCGAGCTGGTCTACTTGGAAGTAAGTCCCATTTTATTGCAGCCTGGGAGTGCAGTCTTATGTCATTTGAAGTAGACGACGTAGAAGGGCTTGTGTCCAGTGGCCCCTTGAAGACCAACAAGTCTGGGTATAAGCTTTCGTGTGCACGCACACTTCTTCAGGTATCTTATACCCAGAATTAAACTTGTTTGTCTTCAAGGTGCCACTGGACTCAAACTTTGTTCTCTTGCTTCGGACCCACCTGGGCTTAGAAAGGCGTAATACTGTGTGGGACTGAAGTCTGACGTTTCTAATGTTTTGTCTATTTTTTAAAAAACCGTCAAACAAACAGTACGTTAAAATGAATGCAGTTTCATGAAAATATATTCCTCATTAACCCCATTGCTGTAAAATTAGCAGCTGCTCCACAGTCTAAGCGTTGTTGTTGTTTAAATTTGTTAATTGCCCTAGCCCAGTTTACGCCGGGCTCTGGGCGATGTACGTGGAGGCATAATGCCATAAAAATATATAAAACATTAGAATTCTACAAACAGTTTAATAGAACTAAAAACCCAAATAAAGTCCATGATGATGGCGTCCTGGAAATTTTTACCCCAGCTCTGGACTACCGGGCCATTTTCTGGGTGGGTGGGGGGAATTCATAGCAGCAATTCAGAAGGGGGGGGGAGGGAAGGGAGGGTGCCAGCCAAGGAAAAAAACCATTGCTGCCGTCAACCAGAAGCCTGATGGAATTGGATAAGATCCCACAAGGCCCTGATGTCATTTGGCAGAGTTCCACCAGGTTGGGGCCAGGACCAAGAAGGCCCTGGACCTGTTCAAGGACTGCCGGACATCCCGAGGGCCAGGGTTGAGCAGCAGAAATATCTGATTGCAGTGTTCATGTATTGTAAGGGCTCCTGGGGACCAGTAAATCCTATGGAATAAAAAGTGCATTTTGAAAACGAAATCAAATACATATACAACCTGCAGTGTTTATTTGATGGTAAGGTTTTGTCCATCACACCTCTCCTAATCAGAGCAGCTGGTCATATCTGCTACCACCTGATCCCTTTGTTGGCCAACGGAGAAATATTCGGGGCAGAAACCGAAGTCAGCCTGCATTTGCTGGACAGAAGCAACTGCGAAGGAGTTCTACGGGGCATCGTAATGGAGACGGAAGACATGGCGTTCCCTCTTCTTCGCAGTGTCTCTCCACACACCAAACTGGAGGGGGCTTTTCTTCAAGCTGACGTCATCATTTTGCTTGATGACATCCTGCAGGAGACCATCCCAACGCTCGAAAACTGCATCCGACAAGTGACCGGCCAGTGTAAAGTCTATGGTCCTCTGATTGATGAGAACGCCAAAAGTGACGTCAAAATAGTCGTGATGGGGAGGACCTTTTCCAACCTTAAAGCATTACTGCTGATGATGAATGCCCCGTCTATTAACCCTCGAAACATTGTCACGCTAGCTATGCTAGAATGCGAAGCCAAGTCCATGTTGGCAAGAAAGCTGAAGATGCATTCAAAAGGTAAAAAAGAGCAAGGGCCCAGTAGCACCTTAAAGACTAACAAAACATGTGGCATGGTATGAGCTTTCGTGAAGCTCTGCTCTCTTCTTCAGATACAACTAGAATGGGAGTCCAACTGTCCTGTTTATTGGAAAGTGGAATAATCTCAGATGCTGAATGACATTAGCAGGCAAATGACAATAGCAGGTGTGATTGGATTTAGGTGAGATATGCAGAAGGGTAATAGGCGTGGAGAAATTGGCATTGGTAATGAAACAGGAAACCTAGGTCTTGATTCAGTCCAGGTGGATGCATTGTCTTGCGCTTCATTATCAATTGCAATTCAGCGGTCTCTGTAGTCTCCCTTTGAAATTCCTTTGTAAGAGCTGCTACTTTTAGGTCAGCAACTGAATGTCCTGATCACAGATTGCTTAGCTGTTTCAGATTCCCCCCCCCTCTTTTCCTATCTTAGGGTGCATTGGCGGTGGAAAGTACCATCAAGTCACAGCCAACCTATGGCAACCCCATGGGGTTTTCAAGGTGAGAGGCAAAAAGAGGTGGTTTGCCATTGCCTGCCTCTGCATAGCCATCCTGGACTTCCTTATTGGTCTCCCATCCAAAAACCTACCTGGGCTGACCCTTAGAGTTTCCAGCCACCAGGTGTTGTAGACAAAACAAGGGGAACTGATATTCCGCAGTGAAGCAATTGGTAGCCAGGAGGCTGCTGGCTGAAAGAGATTTCCTGGAGCACTGGTTCCGATTTGAATTTTGATCTCCGCAATGGAAGGGAGATGCAGCTTTGAAAAAGAGGATGGAAACATGTTTATATGCCTAGGATACATGTCGCTGCATAACTTCCAATCATTGATCTGTCATATAAATTTGCCACATTGAGAACTTAGAAACCAGGAGTGTTACACTGTAACCTTGATTTATAGCTCACGATTGTTGCATTTTGAGAGTTTGGGAACTTTATGTGTTGCATTGTAACTCTGGCTTGGAGCTTTTGACCTTGTACTAAGTACTTTTGGAGCTGGTATAAGAAAACTCTGATAACTGAATATATATTAAAAATATAGACTTGTGTGGTATTTCAAAATATTTATTTAAAGGCATTGATAAAAGACTTGTTAAACGCAGCCACCAGGTGTTGGCTGGAAATCTCCCGCTGTGATAACTGATGTCCAGGTGACAGAGATCAGTTTGCCCGGAGAAAATGTCTACTTTGGAAGGTGAACTCTATGGCATTATACCCCACTGAAGTAGCTCCCCCCCCAAGCCCCGCCTTCCTCAGGCTCCACCCCCACCCCAAATCTCCAGGTATTTCCCAACCCGGAGCCAGCAACCCTACTGATCTTGCTTAGCTTCTGAGATCTGAGGAGACTGCCCTAGCCCGTGCCATCCAGGCCAGGATGCTTTACAATGTGCATCAAATCCTATAAAAATATAATAGTCGCATACCCCTATAGAAATCTATGGAGATCCTACGTGGTTAATTAAACGGGGATTCCAGAATATAGATCTGAAAGGCAGTACTGAAAAAGACGGACAGGCATTCTCTTCGGAAGGTAGTTTTACAATAGTGGCAACACCTCTGAGAACAGCCTTTCACGCGTCAGTTAAATGAACTCCAGATGTTGCGCCTATCGTGCTGATTTTATCTGCTGTCATTCTGGCCCAGCATGGTGGGCGGAGCCACAGAATGGCTGCCACACAGCGGCCACCAGCCACAGGAGGGGGAGCCAGCCAGAAAATGGCTGCTGCGGTTTCCCTGCAGCCATACAGTGGAGGTCCTCATGCTGTGGTGGCGGCGGCTGACCAAGCAACGCCTACACAGCCAATCAAATCTGCAGTGGTGAATCAGAAGCCACCTGGCCCCGCCCACTTTCTAAAAACACTTGCTTAGACACCAGCATACGTGTCAGTGGTTGGGAACCCCTATGTTGAGCCATGAGATGAAAAATGGGTTCTTGTTAGTAAGGGTGCCATCTGACAAAGTGGACATAGGCGAACTCTCCCTTGCACACCAGTATACGATGCCAGGGCTGAGTCCTCAGTATAAGGGGAATGCCGCCTCTCAAGCAAAGCCCTGATGCTGATGAAGAAATTCCAAGCCAGCACTCTCCAGGGGGTGGGCGCAGGAGCGGTTGTTGGCTGACACGCCTCGTGTGAATAACACCTTGTTTGTTCACCTATTTATTCTCTGTCACAGGGATAAAAAATCTCATCGTCTGGGGTAACGCCAGCGGGAGTAGCTTCATTGATCTCAATCACACGGAGCTCTATGGATACGACGGTGCCATCTGGGGCCCACCAAGCTTTTTCCGTTCCTTGTTGGATGTTCTGTTTGATCGGTATTTTTCTGGATGCTTGAGCAATAACATACTTAGAAGTATCTTTATGGAGTTGATTTAAGGGTAGAAGTGGAGCTGAGGTGTCAGACTCATTTGTTATGAGGGCCGGATCTAACATAAATGTCGGGCCAGGCCATTTGTGCCATAAAATGTAATGCCAGGTACCGGAGATATCTATATATCTAATAGCCAAGGGTCCCTCTGTGTGCGGATACTTATTTCTGCAGATCTGGGGTAGATGGAGGGGGGGAAAACAGATCTTTTAGCATATTTGGGGCAGTCCCCAGGCTTGCAGAAAAATCTAAAATGTTGAAAAAACTATATGGGGGATACTTAAATCCCCCCAAAAGTACAATAGCCCTTTCTGCTCGTGCGCATAGAATGGACTTACGGAAGACGAGGAGGCTTCTCTCCCTCTCCCTCTCCTTGGAAAGCGACTGTTTTGAGCACATGACTGCCCTTAGCAACAGCTTTCCTAGCGATGAGGCCTTCACAGGCTTTCCCACTGTTGGGAAGCCGGGAGCAAACAGGGACGGAAAGCATTGGGTGGCTTTGTGTCTGATCCTGCACTGGCTCAGCCTCCCAGGCACTGCCACCAATGCCAGGCTCAAAGTTAGGGGAAAAGGGGGGGGAATGGCTTGGGGGAGAGACAGAAAGGGAAAGATGGAGGTTATTTGCTGGGGGGGAGATAGAAGGGGGATTGGCTTGCGGGTAGAGAGAGAAAGAGAAACAGAGAGAAAGACTTGGTGGAGGGTTGGAAAGAAAAAGAAGGAGGGATTGGCTTGGGAAGAGAAAAAAGGGGGAGAGGGGGGAGAGGGAAGGAAGCAAAGGGGAGGGAATGCGGGTCCACCCTTGTAAACTGCATAAAGGACAGCGGCTGGTAAAATTCGAGTTGGTGAATCTTCACTGCAAGGCCCCCTGGGCTGGGAGGGGGGTGCAAAGGAAAATCCATATGGGCCGACCGGAGAGCCAGCGGTGCAGCCCTGGGCAGACGCTCCCACGCTGCTTGACTACTGCAAATGAGGATGTTCCGCCCTGCTGAAGCCACAATTGGAGTGGCTTTGCCCACTCCCCCCCCCGCCCCCGAGGAGTCTCCCATTCCCTCCCTTGCACAAGTTGCTCGCAGGCCGCATAAGAGCCCTGGACAGGCGGGTTCCAACCCCCAGGCCTTACGTTTGACACCCCTGAGGTAGAGTTTCCATGTCCCAACTTGATAACCCTAGCACAAAACGTCAAGATGTAAAAGGGCACACAGCACAGCAATAGGTTACGAGAGCAGACCAGCCATTTAACTTCCTGGGAAAGTCCATGGTGGGCCACGAACAACCACAGCCGAGGCCCAGCAGCTCCCCCAGCGGAGGAGAAGTCGCTTCGTTCAGGACTGATGGTAACAGCCACAATGTGGGTGTCGGCTTCCCAGCTGCTGCTTCCTGCACCAATCGAAGCGGTGCAGGCAGAGGCCACGAGTGAGCCGGAAGCCATCGTCAGCACTGCTGGATGGGTCTGAGCGGAGCCACCCTTGCAGCGGTGACTTCCAGCCCCTCAGGGGCTGCTCTGCTTAGCTTGGTCCCGGGCCAGCCGTTTGAACTCCCCAGTCTGTCCCTGGTAGGTTATAACCCATCGGCCCTTCCTGCACTGCTACAAATGTTGCTGAACGAGTTGTGGCATCTTATGAAGCTGAGGACTGAGATCTGAATTTAAGAACATCAGAAGAGCCCTGCTGGTTCAGACCGGTGGTCCACCTAGTCCAGCATCCTGTCTCACAGAGTGGCCAGCCAGTTGCCCTGGGGAAGGGCCAACAATAGGGCCTTCCCCTGATGTTGCCTCCTGGCTCTGGGATTCAGAGGCTGACCACCTCTTCATATAGAGCTTCCCCTCAGTCACCATGATTAGTAGCCATTGATAGACTTATGCTCCGTGAATGTATCTATAAGTTCATAAGAAGAACCCTGCTGGATCAGACCAGTGGTCAACCGGTTCCTCTGGAGGTCCAATAACTGGGCCTTCCCCTGAGGTTGCCTCCTGGCTCTGGGATTCAGAGGATTAGTCCCCAGGGCTACTAGCTTCCATAAATCAATCTAACCCCCTTTTAAAGCTGTTCATTCCGGTGGCCATCACTACATCCTCTGTTGTGATGCGAATTCCACATTTCAATCACTCTGTGTAAAGTAGACTTTCCTTTTGTCCGCCCTGAACCTACTGCCCATCAGCTTCATTGGATGCCCTCAAGTTCCGGTATTTTGGGAGAGAGAGAAATATTTCTCTTTGTCTACTCTCTCCATCCCATGCACAGTTTTGTAAACTTCTATCATGTCTGGGGAATCTTCTCTCTAGATAGAAGTCTTTCACTATACTGAAGGGAAAAAAAACCTTTTTTTGGCCCCCCCCCCCCCCCCGGACAGCAAATGGATGCGCTCTGAATTTGTGGCTTCGCTGGGCTCACTGAGTTCTTGGGGGCACCACTGCTTGGGCCTGGCACCAGCACACGTCATTGCAACGGTGCTGAGATACTGGTATCAAGACTCTCCCCCAAAGGAGATGGTCTCTCTAGGAGTCATCAGTGAAGGTAAACGTTCTTCTTTGAGTCAAGTAATCCCTATGGTGTCCTCTGTCACCCCTCTCCATTTTCAGTAAAGATAATGGAAAAGACTTTGGACTTAATCCAGCCAAGACAGTGTTAAGTCTCACTGTTGTGGGCTTTTGGGTAGAGGTGGGTAGGCGTGGTACCTGCAGCAGGCTGGGCAGATGCCAGGACTCCATACCAATAAAGTGGTGTAGTTACAGTTAATGTTATGTATTGAGCATAAGCCTTTCCTCTAGCTGTAACTGGAACGGGCTGAGCTTGCTGCTCTAAGACAATAGCTTGCTTGGATCCAGGAACTAACCTATAGATAATCAGTGCAATGTAAATAGCCCATCACTGGGAGTGTGTGTGTGTTGGGTGTGGTGTAAACTGGCTGAGCTTGTTCCACCAGAACAATAGCTGGCCAGGATCCTGGAATGGACCTATAGTGTAGTAGTTGTAATGTAAATAGCCAATTGTGTGCTGGGATGTGGTCTTTGCATGCTTTATAAACAGGACAGCAAGGCCAGGTTTTCAGTCTTGTAGGTTGCTGAAACTAGAATAAACTAGAGCTGATCACTGCAAGGCATCTAGAACCCAGTATTTTACAAGTTACTACTTTATTGACACCCTCAGCTATACAGCGCTGCTCCACCATAGTGCCTGGCAGGTGGTTCATGCCGACCCTGTAACCTACACCTCTACTGTCCTCTAATTCAGTCCTTGGTCACCTCCCAACTCCTTTGCACCACCTGGTTAAGTGCTCGCCCCAACAACTGACCCTGCTCTTCCTCTCCAGACCCGTGCCCACTCAGCTTCTGGCTCCAATGTGCCCTTAGCCCTCAGGGGACAGCTGGAGCTGTGGATCAACCAGCCACATCCTTCCATTGGCATCCCTGGCCAGACCATGACCCATGGGACTTCCTCCACTGGCACCCAAAAGCTTCTCCAGTGGTCCATCCCGAGCCTGGGTGACTCAGCCCCTCAACCCTTCACGTGGCCGCAGTTGCTGCTGGGATGCCAGGCCCACCCATTTCACTAGCAGCATGAAGCACATGTTTGAATTTCTCCCACTGAAATCAGCGGGAATCATAAAACGTTGGTTAAGGTGGGCCCTGCCTCCTTCGTTTTGTGCCCGTTTTAATAGTGAACATATGTGTGTGTTACCCTGGGAATAAAAGTTGTTTCAGAGGAATTGTCTTTGTTTCTTTAGGCCAGTTTGGGCTCCCTGAAGGGATTGTCTTTTCCATGCCTGTGAGGTTCCAGAATGGTAGATGGGAGGCCCTTACAAAACTAGAAATTGACAAGAAAAATCAAGAATATCTTCAGATCTTAGCCTGTGATCTGATTCGGGTAACGTCCAAATGTTTTTGTATCCTGTAATTGCTTCCATAAATTCCTCCTTCTAGTTTTGGACAAATAAGTCCCCTGGGACTGTTTCAGGCTGGGGAGATGGCGAGGCAGGGAAAGTTGAAGTGCCTCCTTCAAGAGCACCAGTTTCCCGTTCCTTATTGAGCACCACATGCAAGGGAATTGAGCAGAATTGACAACTCATGTGTGATTGTGGTCCATTCTGCATCTGGCCTTCGCTCCACATTTTCTCAGCACTCAACCTGGTTCCCCCTTGCCTCAGAATATCTGTTTTCATTCAATCTGGTATGCAGATTTTCCTGTGTCAGTACTTGCCTCAGCAGCCATTAGTTGCCTGAGCCAAGTAATTCATGGCGAGGTGATAGATACAGAGGGGGAGACAGAGGTGGGGGAACCGATGGAGATCAGTGAAGCCATGCCAAGTTGTCTGGTTATTGTTCCCTTCAAATCAGAAGCGGAGGAAGGGAAAGGTGCCGCTCAAAGCCACATTCAGATACCAGATACTGCGAAGTCACCCCTGAACAGTTATATATCTATGCAGAAGGTACCATAAAACCCAATGAACAAAGCAAGTGAAAGTGGCATGCAGTGCAGAGGGAGATTAACCTCCTGCTGTGGCTAAACTGTGAGGAAACAGATGGGTGCAGAGTCAGCTTGTGTTATGCAGGATGGAGACCTCAGGCCCAACCTCTTTACTCTGCAGTGTGTGAAAACATTAAGTTGTTACGTTACTAACACTCTCCAGATTGCAATGGTTTACATGGCTGTGCAGGTTTCTGCACCCAAGAGACCTAGCTGGATGAGGCACAGGAGGCTCCATGGTTCCATGGTTCCATGAGCTCCAGCTAGGTCATTTGAGCTTCAGAAACAGATGGGGGGGGGGCGATTGGGCTGCTGTGTTCAGGAGGTTAATTCTTTGCCTCCAACTGCATTTCCCTCCCCGAGAATCCCCGACCCCACAGCTGCTTGACCTGTCTTTTCCCCTGGTGGTGGTGGTGGAAAGTGCCGTCAAGTCACAGCTGACTTATGGCGACCCTGCAGGGTTTCCAAGGCGAGAGGTTCAGAGGTGCTTTTGCCGTGGCCTGCCTCTGTGTAGCAACCTTGCGCTTCTGTGTTGGTCTCCCATCCAAATACTAACAAGGATCAACCCTGCTTAACTTCTGAGATCTGACATGATCGGGCTATCTGGGCCAGGCCTCTTGGGGGGGGGGTCAGGAAAAGGCATGGGGTAGAGAGTGAACCCTCCCCCCCCTAAAGACCAGAGGCTTCTGGGGCCCAGCACCACATTAGCAATTCCAATCACAGGATTCCAGTTTCACCGGGGCCCTCACAAGGCCTTCCCACGTCTTTTTTGCATGGGACAAACATGTAAGGTGTGAAACGGTAACTCAGAGATCTCCCTGTAGAAAATTCCCTGATTCTGGAAGGCCCCAAATGAATATTACAGATTCGATCGTGGGCTAGAGTGGTATACGGGCAGAATATTCCCAGCGTCGCACAAGCCAGCGCAAGAAGTAAACTGGCTGCATCCTGTCAGTTTCGGTGGCAATTGTAAATGAAGTTGAAGTTCTGGGGTTGATAGACCAAGACGAGTAGCCGTGTTAGTCTCTCTGTAGTAGAGCTGCGGTGGCTCAAGTGGTTAAGGCGCTGAACTGCAGGCTGTGGAAGGTCAGTAAGTTCAGCAGTTTGAGACCCGGGTGCCGCATGATGGAGTGAGCTCCCATCTCTAGTTCCAGCTCCTGCCAACCTAGTAGTTCGAAAGCAAGAAATTGCAAGTAGATAAATAGGTACCACTTCGGTGGGAAGGTAACAGCGTTCCGTTCGCCTTGGTGTTTAGTCATGCCGGCCACATGACCACGGAAATGTCTTCGGACAGCGCTGGCTCTTCGGCTTTGAAACGGAGATGAGCACCGCAACCCTAGAGTCGGGAACCTTTACCTTTTTAGTAGTAGAAAAGAGCAAGTGTCCGGTATTACCTTAAAGACTAACAGAAATATGTGTCAGGCCAAGACCTTTTGGTCATGGCTCACTTCTTCAGATACAGCTAGAATGGGAGTCCATTTGTCCTATTTATTGGAAAGTGGAGTGATTTCAGATGCTGAATATTAGCAGGCAAATGACAACAGAAGGTGAACAACAATAGCAGCTGTGATTGGATTTAGATGATATATCCAGACATTAGGAACCACAACATAAGTCTGACATTAGGAACTACAACATTCAAAAACCAGTGGGGGGACATTTTAACCTTCCAGGACATTCAGTTGCTGACCTAAAAGTAGCAGTTCTCTTACAAAGGAATTTCAAAGGGAGATTAGAAAGAGAGACTGCTGCATTGCAATTGATAATGAAGCTCAAGACAATGAAGCTCTGGACTGAATTGAGACCTAGGTTTCTTGTCTCATTACCAGTTCTGATTTCTTCATGCATACTCCTCTGCGTATCTCACCTAAATCCAGCTATGACATGACAGCACACCATGAAGACGACGACGACGATGATGATGATGATGAATTGTCACAGTCCAATATTTGACTGGTAGAGGGTGTTCTGCAGTTCATGATCTAGCCAAGTTCTTGGGAATTGCAGAGGTTTCTTTGCAGGATTCCAGCTGTTCCAAGCAACACTGTCTTCTGGAGCTGAGCTGGTGTTAATTGTTCAATGCCCAGAGTGTCCAGGTGTTTCTGGAGACTTCTAGGCAGTGCTCCAAGGGCTCCAATGACAACTGACACAACAATCACCTTCTTCTCCCAGAGGTGCTCTAACTCTGTTTGTAGGCCTTGGTATTGCGTGATCTTCTCATGTTCTTTTCTATTCTACTGTCTCCTGGGATTTTTTAATTTTCTTCTTCTTCTTCTTCTTCTTCTTCTTCTTCTTCTTCTTCTTCTTCTTCTTCTTCTTCTTCTTCATCATCATCATCATCATCATCATCATCATCATGAAAGCAGCATTGTATAGCCTGATCTCATCAGATCTCAGAAACTAAGTAGCATCAGTACTTGGAAGGGAGACCACCAAGGAAGACTCTGCAGAGGAAACCACTGGCCAACCACTTCTGCTTCTCACTTGTCTTGAAAGCCCCTTGCTGGCATTGCTGTAAGTCAGTTGCAACTTGACAGCATTCACATATGTAATTAAGATCCCCCTGAGGTTGTCTCATTTGAGATTTTCTACTGAACAGTTTTTTCTTCAATTCACCATACTTGAAATAGAATATTTTTTAAAAAAGTAAAATAACCATGAAAGCTTTTATTAGTTTTGTGGATAAATCCCCAATTAGACTTCTCGTATCTGTAGTTCCCAAGTGAACACTGCGATATTTTGGAAGGACTGCATGAGCATTACAGAAAACAGTAAGAAAGGGATATTTAGGAAGCAGTGTTAGTTGTTCCGTTACCCAATTTTTAATCAAAATGCACTTTACAGGTGTATTGTAATAACAGTTCCGTTTGTAAATATTGTTTGGTAAACTAAACTGTTGTGTTTTTTTCCTGTACAGGAAAAGGAAGTTGCATTAGGTGAAGCAGTTGAACTATATCCCCGCAGACGAGGTAAAAGCGAACAGTAGGATACAGAACTGTTTTATATAGCACCTGACCCAGGCTGAATCTGAAGACCATATTTAAAATTGTATGTTCTTAGTGGGCAGGGTTTCAATTCAATAGAATCTCCATGGTTTGCTTGCTACTTAAATAAACATCCTACATGTTACTGGAGCCCCTGAGCTATTGACTAATCGAGAGTTGTTCACATAATTTTGGTTGCATTTATAAATCCGTGATAATGTTAACAAAAAAGAAGAGACTGGTTCTTCTCCGGATGCAGCAAGTCACCTTTATGGGCCAGGATCCAAACCACCAAGAAGGTAGTTACCTGAGCCAAGGTGTGGGGTGGACTTGTCTTTCTGATATTATGTGCCCTGTACCCCGAACACATGGCAACCTGCATTAGGAAAATGAGGGAGTTTGGAAAGCTGTTTATTTATTTAATTCATTTACACCCTGCCTTTCTCCCCAACGGGGACCCAAAGCAGCTTACATTATTCTCCTCTCCTCCATTTTATCCTCACAACAACCCTGTGGGGTAGGTTAGGCTAAGAGAGTGTGACTGGCCCATGGTCACCCAGTGAGCTTCTGTGGCACAAGCAGGGATTCAAATCTGGGCTCCCAGACACTCTTAACCACTATACTTCACTGGCTCTCCATTTATCTGTTTGTGATTATGACCTGGGAGTTCTGTTCAAAGAGGAAAAAAATATTCCTGAATGTCCACTAGGCGTATGGAAGCTCGCTCCATCATGGCCATTGTGAATTAGTTTAAATATAGTTAAAAGAATTCATTCTGAGATTTTTACAAGGTTATGGAGATAATAAAATGAATGGCTGAAAGTGACAGAATACATCTTTTGTTTCTTATAGTACCTCACTGGGCACTGAAAGAAGAAGAAGCAGAAAGTACTTCAAAAGAGGGCAAGTAAAAGAAATATTTTATTATTTTATTGATACCTCACAGTTCTTCCTGGTGAGGACCCAAAGTGGCTTATGTCGTTCTCCTCCCCTCCATTTTATCCTCACAACAACCCTGTGAGGTAGGTTAGGCTGAGAGGGTGTGACTGTCCCAAGGTCACCCAGCAAGCTTCCATAGCACAAGTGGAGGTTTGAACCTGGGTCTCCCAGTTCCCAGTCTGACACGCTAACCACTACACCATGCTGGTTTCTTGTTCTTAGTATTTTATATTTTGATGGAGAAAACATTTCTGCCTCCCCAGAACTGGTTTTCACACAAGCTATTGCTAACAGTGAGCTCTGATGTCAAGGAGATCGAGTATCATTATCAGTATATCTAATTCTTAGCATGGCCGAATCTGTGGCTACTTAAATCCAAGGACTAAACAGGCAGGACAGATCATTTGATGAACCGGGAGGAAAGCCGCAGGTTTGCAGGAAAATCTGAAATCAGATAAAAATAGGTTGGCTGGTGGGTGGAAAGGACAGAAGGAAGCAGGGAAAGGGAGAAGTTTTGCCTTTTGGGAAAGGGAAATAAGAAATCATGGGAGAGGGGGAAATGAGATGCACCCCGTAAATCCTTGAAGATCCGCTGTTTGTAATATATATAATTCTGAACATGGTCCTAGAAGGCACATTGATAAATCCTCAGAATAGAATTACATACAGGGAACGGTGATTTTTCAACAAACCCAGGGGAATCTCCAGGTTTGCAGAAAAATCCAGAAACTTTTAAATAAAAATCCAGGATTTTTTTTAAAAAACCCACAAACCAGAGAAATGATGTATGCAGTGGCATATCTAGCCTATTTGGTGCCCAGGGCGGAGAAACAGTCTTTAAGGTGTCCCTGGACTTTTATTTATTTATTTATTTTTGCAACAAAGCCGCCTCTTTGGAATTCTTACCATGGGAAACAACCAGCATGACAGAACTGCCGGCTGATTCCGTGGCACGCAGTCATTTTTACCGCCGCTCTGAGTTGCTGCTGTCACGATAAAAACTGATGGGATTGATCACTTCTTTAATTTTATTTTAGAACTTGAAATTTCATCCGCTGGCCCCGTCACTTCGGAAGAACCTAGCGCTGAGGGTAAGGCAAGGAGCTTAAACTCCTTTCTTTGCGGTGTTATCTGTGTTGCTGCAAAGGTGAGAGCCAACTATGTATTTTCTGATTCAATCTCCTGATGTATTTTGTATTTTAAGTATTTATATCCCACTTTTCTCCCCAATGGGGACCCAAAGCGGCTTACAAAACAGAAATACAATATGAACAAATGAAAGAAAAACGACTTCCAAGTAGAGGGTGGCTCTCGCTCGTTTCTGTTACTGTTTCCTGGTTTCCTGGTTTAACTCTCCACCACCCCCAGTTCTTAGCGTTCTATCGACAAGAGTAACAGCACCTTGGGCCAGGGTAGGTGGCTACTGAGATTGGGAAAATGGCAGAAAGTGAAAGGGTAACCATTTATTTACCACATGTCCCCCACTGCAAACCAGTATGGAGCCCTTCACACCCCCCATGGCTGCCTTAAAGTAAAAACAAAAAGCACCAGGAGATTCAGTCTCGCAAAGCATGGTTTGGCCTCGAGAGGCTTAGATCTGAAGAGACGATGAGCCAGTGAAAAATGGGGAGGATAAATACTGAAAGTAAGCAGGAGGGAAGATCTGTTGCCCCAGAAGGTCGGACCAGAACCAGCGGGTTGAAATTAAATCAAAAGAGTTTTCTGCTAAACGTTCGGAAGAACTTCCTGACAGTTAGAGCAGTTCCTCAGTGGAACAGGTTTCCTCAGGAGCTGATGGGCTCTCCTTCTCTGGAGGTTTTCAAAGAGAGGCTAGATGGCCATCTGACAGCCATGCTGATTCTGTGAACTTAGGCAGATCATGAGAGGGAGGGCAGGGAGGGTTGCCTCAGTGCTTAGTTCTCGTGGCCCTTTCTTACACCCCCAGGGAAATGCTGGTCGCCACTTTGGGGTCAGGAAGCAAATTTTCTCTAGGCCAGTTTGGCCAGGGATCCTGGAGGTTTTCTTTTTGGCTATCTTCTGGGCATGGAGCAGGGGTCACTGGGGGTGTGGGGGGGGAGGTATTTGTGAATTTCCTTCATTGTGCAGGGGGTTGGACTGGATGACCGTGGAGGTTCCTTCCAACTCTATGGTTCTATAAATAATAATTAAAAAATAGCAGGGGGAAGGGCATGAAGGAAGGCAGAGATCCTGAACTACATATATTGGCATATTTTGGGTCGATACATTGTCAGTAGCTGAGTCTGCATGTGGGAAAACATACAGGTATTGCTCTGTGTATAACACACTCTGAACATTAGCTATTGGAACTATCAGGGTTAACTGAATGTTGATCCACATATACATTCACCTTAGTTGATTAGTGTACTCTTAATAATGTAAAGTAACTAAAAGTATAGGAGCTGCAGTGGCTCAGGAGCTGCGGTGGCTCAAGTGGTTAAGACGCTGAACTGCAGGCTGTGGAAGGTCAGTAGTTTAGCAGTTCAAGACCCGAGTTGCCGCATGATGGAGTGAGCTCCCGTCTCTAGTTCCAGCTCCTACCAACCTAGCAGTTTGAAAGCAAGAAATTGCAAGTAGATAAATAGGTACCACTTCGGTGGGAAGGTAACAGCGTTACGTGCGCCTTGGTGTTTAGTCTTGCCGGCCACATGACCATGGAAACATCTTCGGACAGCGCTGGCTCTTCGGCTTTGAAACGGAGATGAGCACCGCAACCCTAGATTCGGACTCGACTGGCTTTCGAGCAAGGGAACCTTTACCTTTACCTAACTAAAAGTATGAGCCAACTCCACTAGGGGAAAAACACAACACATTTGAAGATGGTGTGAGAAGGTAGCAAGGCTCTGTCTCTGTGCTAAGTCTATGATGGCCTTTTCGCACGTGAGAGTCAGCGTTTGATTTGCAGCAAGTAATCAGGTAATGAACATGATGTGTGTACATGAGAGACAGAGAGAGAATTTTGCCCTGGTCCATTCGAGGATTTTGAAGCGGAAAGGTCAACAACAGGGTTCTTGCGTGTTCCCTTCTGGTTAATTTCCAGTGAAAACAGCCCTATAACCAGATAAGTCAATGTAGTTGGCTATAAATCAGTTCCATACCCACTGGCATTCACCCTGAACTGGATGGGCCAGGGTAGCCCAGTCTCATCAGATCTGGGAAGCTCAGCTCCAGGTAGTACTTGGATGGGAGACCACTAAGGAAGACCAGAGTTCCTAAGCAGAGGCAGGCAACAGTGAACCGCCTCTGTTCATTGCAATACGTTGGCTGCAACTTGTGTGGCACTTTCCACCAACCACCAACAGCATTCAGAGGACCTCCTAAGTGAGGTTCACATCTGCAGAGGGTTTCTGACGCTTTGGTTTTTCCGACAGAAGCCCCGCCTTCCCCTTCATAAGCGCCTTGTGAGCTAGAGATGGAGGCTTAAAAGAGATTTGCAGCGCCGTGCAAGGAGCAAACTTTCCCTGAATTACGACTTCAAAAGTATGACTTTAGGCCCACAAGCCATTTCAAACACCAGGCTCTGTGGCCGATTGTCATAAGTAGGAGCATTCAAAATGTCAGTCAGGTTAGGAATAGACTGGATTTCAGATCTGGAGAAGAGCCAGTGCAGAAAGGATAGAAGAGCTAGGGCGATTTCGTACTAGAGCTGCCTCGCAGCGCAGCCCTGTTTGCCCCGACACAAACATGTTAATTTCACACCCGAGGCTGCGGGGCTGCATTTGACCCGTGGCTTCGCCCGATTTCCTCTGCAGTTTCGTGATCCTTAAAAACCATGGTCATGAAACTGTGGAGGAAATCGGGCGAAGCCACAAGTCAAAATGCAGCCCCATATTTGTGTCAGGGCAAACGGCGGCTGCGCCGCGAGACAACTCTAGTGCGAAATTGCCCCTAGAGTATGAACCCCAAACTATTAGATCAGGGAATTTGAGATTGGGTAGATTTAATCACGTTGACTTTACTGGGATTAAACCATAGTTTGTGGAATGGATTGTCCACTTCCTTTCCATTCTGAAGTCCCAGCATATTTTGTTGGTTATCATAAATAACGGCTTAGAGAACAAAACAGTTTTATATGCCTTATTCCTCTGTGAGGAAAGGCAAAAGAATCCGAGCTTTAATTGCATAGAACTGAGAAGGTGAAGATCTTGCTCAAGGCCACCCAAAACGTCCAGAGCCAACCCGAGAAGCTGAACTCAAGCCCCCTGAATCTAAAACACATTTTCTCCTTTAGAAAACTTTTTATTCTGATGCATTTCCTTCTTGTGTGCACCGGTCGGTATTGATGACAAGCATCCTGTTTCAGAATGCTATGAAACAGAGGGGTCAAATATACTAAAAGTCTGGGAAAAGAAGTACATCTTGGATATGAATAGGTACAAAATAAACAATTCTGTTTGTCACAGTGCCTGAAGGGTTACCTGAGGAGTTAAAAGAGTCAAAGAGCCCGGAAGAAGAAAATATCGAAGAATCCACAGATGGTGAGTAAAAAAAACTTCATGCGAAATAGAATCGTTAACTCTTTGCTTATTTACTGGCTTCATTTATACCCCACCTTTCTCCCCAATGGGGATGCAAAGCAGCTTACATAATTATCTTCCCCTTCATTTTATTCTCTCAACAACCATTTCTGGTTTACACATCAACATACACTGGGAATAGGGCAGAGGTCATTTCTGGGGGGAACGCGGGGGAACGCAGTTCCCCCGGGTGAGGTGCAGGGGGGCAGGGCACATGACGAAGCCCCGCCCCCTGCTTCCGGCCACCCCGCTTCCAGCCCTCATTCAGCCAGGAGGAGGCAGGAGAAGAGGGAGGGTAAGTTGCTTCCTCCCTGCCTCTCCCCACCCCTGCCTGCCTGGGGCCAGGGAGGGCCTTCGCGGGGCTTCCTCGCACTCCCGCTGGCCTTGCAGGTCCACCGCCGGGCCCCTGATGTCAGGGGGTGTGGCATATGCTAATGAGTTATGCTAATGAGTTCCCCTAGCTCTTTTTCTACGAAATGACCCCTGGAATAGGGCAATGGCCAAAGACAGAATGGTGGTTCATAGTTGCCATCTCTGATGAGTTTGGGCTGCTCAGTATATGCAGGCCTGATTTATTACTATTGTTTAGAGTCATGGAGCGCTGAGGGTCGCCTCGGCACATTGTCGGGAAATTGAGGCGCCCCTTTGCTCTGACGGTCTCTCTGCTGTGTTCTGGCAAGGACTAAGCTACGCACACCCCATCAAGCGAGTGGAGGTCAAGAGGCAAATAAGCATATATGTCGGTGAGATCTACTTAATCTACATATGAAGAGTGAGTAAAGTTGAAATGAAACAACCAAGCGAGAGGGGACTCTCCTCCGCTAAGAACTGTTTATAAGCATTATGGAGCTAGAAGAAAGGGGGGGCATGTTTAAAATCAGCAATGGACTATACGGAGAGATTCCAGGAGGCAGTTAAGCATTGAAGCAAGTTTTCGGGACTTTTGCAAACTTTGTAAAAGTAAACATCCTTAAAAATGGCGATGGACAGCGTAGTAAGAGCAACAAGCGGTATCCAAGCTTTCACCAGGAAGTGGAAGAGTTGCTGGTTAACCATCTGACCGGAAATAATCATAGACTCTTGCAAACTGTGTCTTAAGCCTTTGTTCCCTCTTGGTATAAACGAGGTACTATGCAAGAACTGTGGGGGCCAAGGCAGAAAAAGCCCTGGCCCTGGTTGAAGACAGCCCAATCTCTCTCAAGCTGGGGACCCCCAGGAGGTTCTTCCTTCCCGAGCGTAATGCTCTTCTTGGGGCATCCTGAGAGGGGCTTTCCATCAGCTCTCATTGGTTGCTCTCGGAAAGAGGCAGAACCTAGCCTGTCCGTCACAGGAACTTATGACATTCTTTCCCCCGCCTCCATTTTATCCTCACAACCACCTAGCAGAGTGGGAATTTGAACCTAGGTCTCCCCAGATCCTCATCTGCGACTCTAACCACTACACCAGGCTGGCTGTCCATTGGAGACATAGTTCTACACACCTTCCTTTTGTACTTTTGGTGTACCCCTGCAACGTGCTGCCAAATAATGATGGAAGTGCCTTGAGGACTGATAGAGCAGTGAATGCTGAGAAAGGTGGCTCACACTTCAGTGGTGGATTTAGTGTCTTTACCATCACAGAGACTAGATGCTTATTTTTTAACAAAAGAAAGCAGAATTTTGTATGTTTGCAAATCTGTAGCTGAGAACAACTCATAAATAAATTTCTGTTTATTTGTGTTTTGTTCTGCAGTTCCTGAAGTTTCGTCTTACCACGAAATCAATGTGAACAGTCTAGAATGACGTTCATAACTCATCACTGAACAGTCCAGCTGCAGCTTTCAAACACTTGGATACGGAGGCTTCCGTGACTCGACAACTACAGATTTGGCACAAGAAAACTTCGTTTTCCCTTCTGCATGGAATGAGAGATTTAGCTGTGTGAAAACTCATGCCTGGTTGTCTTTTATTTGTACTTTTAAGACAAGTTGAATGGGAAACCAAATCTATTTGTTTTGGAATATCTGGATAACACCAATTTAGTGCAGTTTACCAGTCATTTTGCCAGTTTACCAGTCATTGCCCACGCTGGATCTAGCATTCCAGACTCTGGAGTATGAAAGGTGTAGAGTAGAAAATTGAGAAGTAACAGCCTGGTTTGAATGGCACTCTCTCCTGCCTTCTCCCTGTATGTAGTTGAATACTGAGATTACCCCTTTCCACTCACCCACCAGCTGCCTTGTCCTTTTCTGACACACACAGATGTCCACGTATGCGTGTAACATCTGAATAGGGTAGACAGGCAGAAAATCATATTTATACAAGGCCAGGTCTTGTGGCAAATTCTGTGGTTGGCCTGTTTTGGGAAGGAAAGGGGAACCTCAGTCGTATATGCATTATGTATATTGGATTGTATGTGCATATACCCTATTCAAACCTTGCACATGGATGACTGGAAGACAGGCAAGTCTGGTGAACAAGGCAGGAAGGATTTATCTTGATTGTCCACTGCATGTAGAGTGAAAGAGAGGAGAGTACTCTCTGAAACAGACAAATAATTTTAATTTTATATAAAAGGTAAAAAGAACATATAAGGTTAAAAGTATTTTCTGTCTGTCCATATGGGTACAAGCAAAGTTACACACCCTCCCTATTCACTTGGCAAGGATAAAGATTTGGAGAAAGCGGCCCGGGTAATTAACTGCATTCTGATTGAGCCACCTGGCAATATTGTCCACCGCTTGCAAGTGTGTTCTCTCATGCGATTGTACGCGTGAGCCTGGATCCGCTGCTGCTCTTGCTGGATTCTTAATTGTTTTTTAATTGTAAATTGTTTGTTTTTACCCTGTTTTATGTTTTGAAGCTACCGTGGGGCCTTCAGC